ACAAAGAACAAAATACTGTAATATCGAAATGACATCTGGAGAATCAGAAGTGAATACTGACGATGATGAAATGATGATAGAATAAATGAGATATTTAATAGTAACATATCACCCTAGATTTTTATTATACTGCTAATCTTTGATGCTAGTCACGAATCTTATATCCATTTGTAAGATCCTTTTGAGGACGTTTTTTGCATTTTATCAACAAAACGATTCTAATTTTTCTACAAGCAGCTATAGTGCAATTTCTTGTGCCTCTCCCTATTTTGAAAAAGTCTTTTTAATAAACTTTTGAAGAATGTACTAAAACTGATGTCGATTTCTCTTTTGCTACTTTGAGGATGAAGTTACGTCCCTATAGACTTATTCGATCTCGGTATATTGTATGATGTAGTTTTATTTTTTGAGACAGACTAACATTTTAGTATTATTAAAAAATTGACGATTATATATCTTCACAAAAGGAAGGATAATGTAAAATATAAATAAACAAAAACTTTTAATCACCTAGTAACCTTTAGTTATGTTTTTTCTCTTACTTTTCTTGTCATCATGTGCGCTCGGCGATATCTTTTGTCTCGTAACCTTTGTAAACGGAGAAGGAAAAAAAAAGAGCAGTTCGCATGTACCTGTTTCCTCATGCGAGACAAAAATTTATACACGTGTGCAAACTTTAAAAGATTTTTTTTTATACTAAATATTTCCTGTTACGTTCCTAGAGAATAAATAATGTTCAGTATTTTTGAATGTCAAAGTAATGTTCCGTAGAAACTATTCCGCGAGACTGAACAGTTCATTTTTACATTATCGTCAGTATGAAGAACCAAATACATTTTCACTCATCTACATTCTATGCAGATCACAAATAAAACATGCAATTAGTTTTTATAATCTACATATAACACCTGAATTACACTTATATGCTGTAAAATCATTACGTGATTTACTATTGATGGGTATAGAACTATTAACCGAGAATACAATGATACAAGTTATATCCTTATTAAAACATAATCGTACACCGTTGAGAGATTTAGGTGCTGAATATTTTGATAAACCGGGATGGTTAGATTTAGCATATTTTGGTGATTCAGTTTATGGTGTCAGTACAAATACTGTACTATTTTTATGGGTATTCTATTGTTTTTTTCATGGAAGACACGGTATGAGCGTATTACAAAAAGGTGTCAGGTGTTTAACGATGGCACGTGCATTGAGGGTTATTACTTTTTCCATCACGGTTCTACCAAATCCAAATGAAGAGTGTAGTTTTACGGGACCAATCGATCCGTTTAATCTCAGTCCTGGTAAGAAGTATAAATAAAACATCTTGTTTTCTGTAATGAATCTTCTTATAAGTAAAAACTGTAAGAAATACTGGATCAGGGAGAAACTATACTCAAATAATAATTGAGTCTCAAACATTACAACTCAGATACATTTTATTTAGACACAATTCAACATGGATCAGTATTGGACGCATTTTGTAAGACTTATTAAGACATATTTTCAAACATCAATCTGAAACGATGATTCAATCTATAGGTTGATACTGCTGTTTAATAACCCAGCAGTACAACGGTTCAGTTTGAGTTCTCTCAGTACAGAGAAAATGGAAACAGAAAAAATTTCTAAGTTTTTGCATCGAAATTAATATCTCTAATATAGATGAAAATACCTGAAATAAAATGGTGAATCAAGTCGCTTACCCAAGCAAATATCACCTATGGGAAAAATCTAAATACATTTCGTCTATAATCGGGCGACACACGACTAGTTGCCATCTAGATTACTAGTTGGAAAAGGGACTTTTAACTAGATACGTCTGCAGGTGCATCGAGTAATAATTAAATCGATCGATTATCGGGTAATAAATCGATAGTTGCAACTAGAAAAAAATTTGGTAATCGCCCAATTACTGGATTTCCATTGTCGTTACACAGTAGTTGCAATCGAGTAAAAATCTAGTAATCTAGATGAATCGGGCGATACTAGACTTTTTTTTGACGCTTGGGTAGGAGTGAGGACTTTTTTTGACAATGTAAGGAAAGTGTTCTCGTCAGAAGGAGATTTTGTACGAATTAGTGCGACATTTTTTCATCAAATTATGACTGATGTACTGCAACTCTCAAAAATAAAACTGCATCAACTGTTATATATAGATTTTTAATTAGATTCTAATTTCTGAAAGTTTTTTGACACCGTTTAGACTTTTAAACGCAATAAAATAATCAAAAAAGGTAAAAGTAAATGATCCAGTTACTATATTTGCTAAGATTAAGTGTTTATTGGTTTAGTGTAATTTAAAACCATCTTCACATTTCTAATTCATGTTCTGAAAAAAAATGTTTTTGTAATATCTGCAGGTACTAACCGACGAATCAGCTTAATCTGAAAATCTGAATTAGTCAGGCTGTTTTATCAGGCCTGAGTCAAAGTCAGAATCAGCTCCAAAAAAAACGAAAAATGACTTATTTTTCATAAAAAGTTTTTACTTCACTTTTACTTCTTACTAATTCAGAAGAACTGAATATCTCTATCAGTGATTTCAGGGCTGACTGAAGTAGCCACATGATGCTGAGAACTTAAGGAGTGCTCTTTCTTGATAGCAATAATAATATCTTCCTATTGGAGAAAATACTACTGCTCTTAAATATTAATAATAGTCAAATTTATCGAATTTTTGTACGATTCTACATTTTCTTGAAGTTTAGAAACCTTTCTTTCTTCTAATAATGGATTCAAAGCTAAAAAAACTGATCGCAGTCAGCTCTGAAATTTCAGAACTGTTTTGTTCAGAAAAATCAGTCCCGATTCTGTCGCTAGATTTAGAGCTGGATGAGCTGCGCAGAATTTTCGTCTCTAAATCAACAGATACATTTTAATGAAGTCTGATTCAGCTCTGATCAAACTGCAGCGCTAATTCAGCTGTTACAAATGTGAATAAATAAATAAAGCGTAAAAAAAATAGAAAAAAGTTTAATGTATATGATGTATGATGTGACATTGTGGATAATTATTTGAAATGCTTCCTATTTTATAGTCACGTTCAGTGTCAGAAGAGAAAGTGAAACAGAAACATCATGCGATAATTTCTGTAGTTTATTCTATAAAATTTTTCTCTTAGAAGTGTATCGTTGACAATAGAGTAAATAGTGTTCTATTGTGCCTATAACCCTATATCTTCATAAAGATGAGGTGGATAATTATTTTCGAAAAAAAGTGTCTTTTAATTGCAAACTGTCCAAATATGAAAAAAGTAAAATGTCTACATGTCGTGGTATATCATATGAATTTGAAAGATCATATTAGAACAAGACAAATGATTTATTAATAAATGTTTAAACACAGAAATAGACCTATTATCCACAATTGACGATGATAGGCCATTTCATAGTGTACTACTGTGTCTGCTCAAGTCTTGGCTATCGAGCAGTGAAAATCGCAGGTCTCTGTCTCATTTCCGTCAAAAATGCCCACCGGCACTGTAGTTGAAGCAAAAAACAGTTCTCTCAAATTGGTTTGTTTCACAAAAATAATTAGTACTCTTTAGTATCTTGTTGACGTATATTATAACTGTGCGTAGTGTTCATGGGTAAAAGACTCTGCAAATAAGTAAGATATATTTTATTCTCTTGAATTTCAAGAATAATTAATTATAGGTGGAGAGCCAATAACTACTCTGCAAGTGCCATTTGATGTCCTGTATATTTTCTGAAGTTTTCGTTAAAATCAGATGTAAAATAAAAAAAGTTTCTCCTAGTAGGGGTGTTCACGTAAGCCAGCTCGAGCCATAGAGAAGCATTGATACAGAAAAGACAAGTTGAGACTTATGAACACATTGGAACACGATAACATCACGAGATATTTTCGATTATGCCTCCGATATTTTTTTTTAATACGTGCTGTAAAAACAGTTTTCATTTTGCATTTACAGCAAGATTTCATTCTGATAATTTACATGCTTATTAGAATCATTAAAAAATTTACGAGGCATGTCAATTCTGTTCATAAACTCAACTTTTCTCTGTTTTTTAGGTGGTGCCTGTAATGATTTGTTATATAGTGGTCATGTTATTGTCTACACGATATCAGCAATTGCTGTTACCATTCTTTGTCAACATTATCCGTTTTTACTCTTAAGACTACTCGTCCGATTTTTTATTTGGTTTCAATTATTTCAACGTATTATTCGTGCTGTTGTGGAAAAACATCATTATTCTGTCGATATGTTTCTAGGACTGTGTATAACGACTCTGATATGGCATTCAACTGTGCTCTATAAGGATTTACCACAGTTACCTCCTCGGCTGTTACAACATTTAAAAACGCTTGTGTTTCCCTATGATGACCCAGAAGTTGATAGACAGTTGAATGATGTGATGATACTCATAAAACGAATCAAAAGGAATCCCTATAGAGCGATAGTATCATTGATAGAATCAGAGATTTTTGTTAGGCAAGTACATATCAAACAAGTGTAACAGATGGATTTAGAAAAATATGAGACTGATCACGAGATTTCTTTAGAATTCATTCAAAGTCGGTACCAAATCTTTTTCTTTGGTGGTAGTGGTGTGGTACTCGCTAGTTTACCTGTTCAAAGTAAAGTCTCTGATTGTCGATACTGTACCAGAATCGTTTTAACTAAAATCTGGACAATATCTGTTGAGGTCATAATGAAAAAACATATTTCTATTACAAAGTGGAATAATACAGTAATACAATTAAATTTTTTCTCTAATATTCACGCTAGTTCACTACGATTGTTAATGGGTGCTTCGATTTGTAACTTGGTCTATAATCTAATCAAAAATATAATCATAGCAGACAATAACTAAATCTTATTACTTAAAAAGCCATTGGTCTCTTCCCAGTCCGGAAAATGGAGACTTTTATCGTCAAAAAATTTATTTACTTCAGCGCTAAAAAAATTAACAAGACTTTGCTTGGATAATTGATGTAAAACATGAAGAATTTGTTGTTCGTATAACCTCATGGTCTTAAGTAGCAACAATGTGAAAATGAAATGGGTGTGGCTTTTTTTAAGCTGAAGACATGTAAGGGATAGCTCATATTTAAGTTGTTCTTTCACTTATACTCTACTGACCTTAATTCGCCTTACCGTCCCAATCTACTTTATTATATTTCACAAGACTTTACAAGATTGCATACGATCATATGACAAGGTTCTATAAGAAAACATCAGACCATGGTTGCACGTTTTTCACCTTAGAAGATGCAATTTTGATAATTATGCATTTTGGATTGTTTCAAACAACTAACTAATCACTGTTTACCGAAACATGTGCTCAGCTATTGAAAGAATATTTGTTATTCGAACGGTATTAGTAAGTCTTCTTTTAATCTCAGAAAATAATGGATGTTGTCAGTAGTTACAAAAAAACGCAAGTTTCAACTTTTACTTGAACTTCAAATATGACTCTGTTCATATGCCTAAGTTTCGAATCTTGCGAGGCTGTTTATGAAATTTATGCAAATGAAGACAGGAGAAATGAACTAACTGATAACACAGAGAACACTCGACTTGGGGTAAATATTCATTTCTAGACGTGTTACCTGTAATGCACGATATAAACGAATACTCTGTTTATGTGCCACAACTAACGACAACTTGTAACAGATTTGCAAATGCTTCAAAAATAACATTATGTCGTACAAATGTGATTTGCAAGAGAACTGCATTGAGCGACCAAGTTGTGAAAATGGGGGCATTTCGATTCCACAATAAAACAATATTAAGCTCGATAGCTAAGCAAAGAAAATCAAACAATGTCCGTTCATCGAAATGCTCAAAGATAAATTTAATATTTTTACTAATGCTAAATGCATGCGATTTTATTCTGCCAAATCTTTCTAGTCTTATGCACTAAGTCCCTTCACGCACGCTCCACTCTAGGAGCCATTGCACGATAGCGGCGACCTAGCGTGCTCAATTTTTTTTTTGAAACTTAATTCTAACTCTGCCAGTTTGTAGTCTTACTAAAGTTGAGTATGTTCTAAAAGTTTTAGCCTATAGGGATGTTTCATTGATCGGGAATAGATTTTTAATCTCGGCACATTACTCTATTCCACAGCATTAATGACTTTTTGTATGGTCTGGCACTATTCACCAATAACGTTTTCAATCGAGATTTTTGGTGAGTATATACTAGAGAAAGAGTACTACACATCCACCGACTCGAAAAAATTTTCGACTCAAGGTGAGTCCATTTGTTCTGTTGTCTGTTTTCGACGATGTATTTCTCTGGATTGTGCAAGTTGATAAGCCTCAAATCTTGTCAGTATATACTACTAGCCTTACTCTATCAGAATCCGTTTTCGGAGGTTTGACTTTTTGCTCCAGAGTCTGGCCGGCTCCTATTGAAGTATACCATGTTTTCATGGTATGCTAACCTCCCAGGTAAAAATATGTCCTTGACATTTTGTTACAAAGGAATGACATATTCGTGTTCTCCATGAAATTCTGCATAGACTGGTATGGTTTTTACTGCTAGAGATCGTATACCGGAGACTCTAGACCACTTTCACCACCCAACATCATCCGTTTCGGCCCTGATCGTTTTTTTTTGTGGTGAATAGAGCAGATAATGCTGGGATAGATGTTGTTTTGTAGAACTCATGTCGGGCTACAAAATAGCTATCTTCATTTTTTTCTGAACACGCATCATAAACGAAATGGCGGTTATAATGACGCAAACCTAGGAAAATCATGTACTATATTTCGTAAATATTTTACCATGGCTAAATGAAAAAAGATTGCCAACGTGAAAATAATATGGAATATATAGTTTCAGATTCTCTATCGAATGAGACTAATTTAAGCTAGAATAAAAATATTCTTTCTTCAAAAGCCCAATTTCTGATCGTCAGGTTTTTTGAAAACCCTTCTAATTTTCTTTTCTATACATTTTGATAGAATTAAATATTCTGAGTAAAATGGTATATTGCTCAAAATTTTCTGATCGTTTCTCAACGAACTGCAGGATTCGAGATTTAGCTGGGTAAACCACCCCCTAGCAAAACTGCATTTTTGGAAAATTGACTTCTCTATATGTTAATCTTGTAAAATTTTGAGCCATATCCCATTTTATTTAGAATGTTTTTTTTACAAGAATATGCCATCCTTTTGTAACAAAATGTCAAGGACAAATTTTTACCTGAGAGGTTAGCATACCATGAAAACATGGTATACTTCAGTAGGAGCCGGCCAGACTCTGGAGCAAAAAGTCAAACCTCCGAAAACGGATTCTGATAGAGTAAGGCTAGTAGGATATACTGACAAGATTTGAGGCATATCAACTTGCACAATCCAGAGAAATACATCGTCGAAAACAGACAACAGAACAAATGGACTCACCTTGAGTCGAAAATTTTTTCGAGTCGGTGGATGTGTAGTA